TATTTTAGTTCGCTGCTGTGCTGATTAAATTGTTCTGATAAGGTTGATGGAGGTGTCTGAAATGGCATTATCAGCAATGTGCAATCTGCAATGCAGCCTTGCATGTATAAATACGGTGACCATCCGTCCTGTATTCTACGAGATAAGTCCTCTTTCTTGACCAATTTTCCTGGCAATTAATTTATTTTATATGGGTATGCCAAATGTTCTGTATGTATTTCTTTTAATGTCCGGTATTTGTCCCGTATTCAGGGTTCGGTATTTCGGCGCCTTCAAATCTCATTAAAATTGCAGTGTCTATGAACCAGTTTTAAATGATGTTGGAATATGATCGGAACTTTCTCCATAAACAGTTATTATTTTTCTAATCATGTGCTTCGAATCGAGGAACGCATACAGTGATCAAAATATAAGTTAGGATCTTACATTTTAGCAAGTTTCGGCTATTTTTATTTTGTTAATTTAATACTAGCAAATGCCTGGACTTGCTTCGCGACGCCTTATAAGAACTTTTGCGTTGACCAATACTAAAAACAGTGTTGCTATGCTAAAACGGTTTGTAATGTAAAAACTATTAGTTTAGGTTGAAAGGACTGAAGAGAGAACCTTGCTTACTCATAGGCCAAGAATAATCGCGCTGAGATAATATTTGGGTTATGTACTAATATCTTTCTAGGATATCTGTATGCTTACTAATAGAATGGGGCTTTATTAAGTCATCTAGAAATGTAAATTTGTAAGGACATCTAAATATCGTGAATTTCAGCCCATCTATGTTTTGGGTCCATTTATTTTGGAGAAACACTTCTTATCATAAAGTTAATACCCGTTAAGCCAGGTCATACGATAAAGACGGGTTCTCGAAATATCTCGACTCCAGCGCCATCTGTCGGCATAATTTTTGCAAAAGTATATTTTACGATTCATAGGAGAATTACAAATGCAGTGTGACGTATGATTCCGAAGTTATGGCTGATTAGAATTTTCACTCCTATATGATGTGCCACGCCCCTTTTACAAAGTATATGTACTTTATTGTAAGCATCTGCCATAGCTAGGTATGTCAACACTACCAAATTTCAAAGTCATGTGACTTACGGTTTCGAAGTTATAGCTGATTAAAAATTTCACGTCAATTGGAAGTGTCACGCCCCCTTGTCAGATCATAATTTTTTTATACCCTAGATTACGTCCGAGGTCGCTCTGTTAAAGCCCTATGAAAATCCATTCAGTAGTTTGGAGATTAGTGAGTTCGAACAACAAAGAATCTACAGATTTATTTTAGTATAGAAGAAGATAGCTATTATTTTAATAGCTTTCTAAACTTATGTCCAAGTTTTTTGTAACTATAGATACTCAAATGCCATTCCTTTTAATACTTTAGAAAAAAATTTGGTTGCCGTTTTGTAGCTCATTAAAATTGAGTATAATAGAGTGCAAGTGCAACGTGCTGCTCATTTGTTTCCCTATCAACAAATCATGCTAACTTTGTATGAACACAAAAAAAAATTGCCAAAAATTAACGGTAAGTCATAGCTACTTAAAACTTGCACTTTATCGTACGAAAATTTAACGACACTTTTGTAAAAAATTTTGTGGAGTAAAAATCTCCAGAAATATTTCCTACAAATTTGTAATGTTACTATAAGGATGCTGTTTCAGGGCTAATACATACATCTAATACCATTTTCCCACGGCATCCTGAATTGCTTGCACATTCTTAATTCGATTTGACAGTTCTCTGCCTCGGTGTTTTGGTTTTGTTTTTCTTTGCTGCAAAATTGATGCAAAATGTAGGTTCTTCCCATGATTCAACACTTAAAGGTTTCCTCACTAGTGACATTCGAGTAACACTCCCTTAACTCCCTTTCAAAAGCTTTGCACACACACACGAACCCACACACAGTGCACACAACCAGGGTTGCCACTGGCGAAAAAAAATACTTACCACCCACTTGGATAAAATCTACCAATTGTGGAAAATATCTACCAACAATTTTTTTTTATTTATTTTAATCAAAACTATGGTTTTGTTATTTTTTCAGTTAATCCCATAAGAATTCAAATTGTGTTTAAAGAACTCTTTATTTAAGGGATCATATTAATGGCATCTACTCAGTTTCCTTCAACCAAAAGCGAAAGTGATTAAACTAAAGGCAACAACGAAACTTCATCAAAAATTTAAACTGAGTTATTATAGATAAATACAGTGACTCAAAAAACGCTTGGTATTTTTTTTTTGATATTTCCCATTTTTTAAGCCAAATTTTTTGGTATTATTTTATAAGAATATTGTTTACGCTTTAGCCAAACATATAAAAATCAAGGATTCAAGCTAAATACAACATTTAGAAAAATTCAAAAAAATTTTGTATAAATTTCGAAATTTTTATTTTTACTCTGAATTTTTTGAACAATTAAAGGTTGGAGTTTTATAGCCTGAGACTAATAAACAATGTGCAGCTAAAAATTCCCGTTGGCGGTTTTTAGTTATTTTGCGCCAGTAACAATTATAATAATAATAATAGATTGGCGCTTACACATATGTAGTGTTTGGCCGAGCTTCTCCTCCGATTTGTGGCATGCGCCTTGATGTTGTCACACAAAGTGGAGGGATCAACAGTTTTACGCCGACTTCGAACGGCGATTGTATTTTTATGAGAAGCCGTTTTTCATGACAGAAATACACTCGGAGGTTTGCCATTGCCTGCCGAGGGGCGACCGCTGTTAAGAAAAAACCTTTTTCTATATTTTTTGCGATTTTTCTTTGACCAGGGCTTGAACCCAGGCGCAGCGGAGTGGAAGCGCGCACTGCTTACCACTACACCACAGCGGCCGTCATTTAACAATTGCCATTGATAAAATTATGCGTTGTTNCTACACCACAGCGGCCGTCATTTAACAATTGCCATTGATAAAAATATGCGTTGAGTTAATTTTTTTCGAAGGCTCGAAGCGGGTAATTACATACTTGTCCGTTCTTTTTTTATTTAAATAATCATTTAAAATATTTAGGCAATCAAAAGCTTCTCGGAATTCCAGTAAAAAGAGTTTTGAATGTTCGCCTTTTATCGATATACATTTATTCGTATGTATGTATATAAAAAGTGTGCATTAAAGTGTTAGAAAATGAATGCAATAAAGTACACTGCACTTCTGGAAAGAAATTTCTAATAAAAAGATAACTACGAAAGATAAAACAGGAATGAAAAGTTGTATTTGTTTTTCAAACTAAATAATTCAACAAAAATCTACCAAAATGAGAAAAAATGTTCCTTTTTACCAACCCACATTTTTTCAACCAATTTTGGTAACAATTTACCAAAATGGCAACCCTGTACACAACACTAAAGGAGCCGATTTTGTCTAGAGGGAGTGAGAAAACTGTTTTCTGAGCAAGCCTTTCATTATTGAATCATGGGTTCTTCCTAAAAATGTATAAGTTTCCGTATTAAATTAGGGATACACCCATTGATAAACTTTACTTTTCGTACTTAAAAAAATGCATGTTTTGATTTGTGAGCTAGCTTCCATAAATTTCCGTTAAAAATAACAAACCGGTGCCGTCTGGTTTGTTCGTAATTCACATGGTAATTGGATCTGAACTACCAACAAATGAGATAATTCGCTCTCAAAATTTTGTATGGCGAATTACGTAATTCGAAGTTTAATTGGAGTGTGAAATACGAATGAGAGAGCGAACTACGTAATTGGGGTGCCGTGGGAAAGCCGTATAAGATAATTTAAGAAGGTGTTAAGATCTGTTAGCTTTTATGGAAAAAATTAGCAAAATTGTCTCGTATTCGGCTCGCATAAATATGGTCACCGTATGTATAAACAACAATTAGTAGTGTGACTAAAACGCATTGTTTTTTTTAATATATCTGGTATTCAAATAATGCAAACACATGAGAGTTTTTCTACATACATTTTTATTTTTAAAAAGTCACCTAATTTTGTTTAAAACTATTTAAAAACACATACACTCAACTAATGAGATATTGCGCTAAAGTCTCGTCTCTTAAACGAAACTATTTTAAGCACTTATTTGTATTTATTTATTATGTACATATGTATCGAATAACGGAATGCGTGTTTCGACGTAAATACGAGTACTATACATGTAAGTAGCTGAAGCGGGAATTTGTAAAACCTTTTTTTCGCCAGGTAATGAAAACTTGTTTTCAAACGGTTTGTATTTTCCTGAAAATTTTTAAAAAATTTAAAAGGCGGGGTATCAATGGCAAGAGCACCACTTTACGTGTTGCCATTAAGATGGCATAGTTTTTCTGATTNCGAAACTATTTTAAGCACTTATTTGTATTTATTTATTATGTACATATGTAGCGAATGCGTGTTTCGACGTAAATACGAGTACTATACATGTAAGTAGCTGAAGCGGGAATTTGTAAAACCTTTTTTTCGCCAGGTAATGAAAGCTTGTTTTCAAACGGTTTGTATTTTCCTGAAAATTTTAAAAAAATTTAAAAGGCGGGGTATCAATGGCAAGAGCACCACTTTACGTGTTGCCATTAAGATGGCATAGTTTTTCTGATCGACTAAAGAACTGTCAAATATTCCCGGAATATTATTAAATGCATTATTGGAGTAAGTGAAGCTTGCGTATTGCTGGTGGAGTCCTATAAAATCTTAGCACAGATTAAGATTAGCTCAATCCTCTTAGCCTGTCCAAAGGGACGAATTTTTGACAACCCTGAAACCTTCCAGGATATTATCATGAAGGCCTATTTTCTCAAAATATGCGACGAACGAGCGCTTTACACAAAAGTCTAGAGATAACTGAATGCCATAGTGATATGCTTGACACTCTTATGACACTTCAGTTTCTGGAGTGCTCTGAAGACTTCAAGAACCAATTTCAGACGAAAAAGTTAATTGTCACTTAGGTCCGTTTCCTGAAGTAACCTGTAAGTTTAAAGCTCACTTTATACTTAAAGGTTGGATTAAAAGTAAAGCTATGTCTAACCTTAAGCATTTCTATTATCAGTTTATTACGTATGTATGTTTCTTGGTTGTAAACCAATTTAAAACCGATAATAAAATGCTTTACTTTAGACCCAGTCATAGATTTTAATCTAACCTTTAAATATAAAGTGAGCTTTAGAGTTACGGGTTACTTGAGAAAACGGCCCTTATAGGTACATTCTGCACGTTACCGAAGATTTTGTAACCGGAAATTTTCATTACCAGTTCTTGTTCTTGTTGTTATAGGTACCTTGGTAATGCAGTTAAAATATTCAGCAATTCAGCTATGAAGAAATGTGGAAATTCTCGCATTACATATATCACGGGGCAATATTTTGTTACCAGCTTATGAGATGGTGACAAAATTTGTCGGTTAAATGAGTACACAGAATGCGAAAAGGGTTTACAAATTCACAGGAACTTTATTTACCGGATACAGAATTTTTATTACCAGCGCAGAATAGATCTGCTAAACTTAATTTTGGATTGTTATTTATATGCCATTTAAGATTCGTTAATTTCCAGATCATCTTTATTTAATTAACTACGCCAAACAAGTGGCACCATTGTTGCTTGTTCCTTAAAATTGTTGCATTTCTTTGTTTGCTTACGTTTTGTGCCAAACTGCTGATTGTTGTTTGGTATAAACACCGAATTGCATATCACATATTTAAATAGCCAATATTGGTTATGTAAGTACAGTTTAAATATGTGATCTGTAAATGATTTTTTTTTTTGTTAATCAACTATCTTTACTTAAATGGTTTAAGTATATGAAATCCGGTTTAAGACCAATTTTCGCTTGGAAATCAAAGAGGGATAAATTTACATATGTAAGTGATAACTGGAAAATTTGATCTAATTTCCTTTTAACCTGAAAAGCTGCAAGAAAAAATGGAATCTCTTTTATCCAGCTTACCAGAAATAAATTGTTAAAGTTACATTTCGTAGATACTTGTAGTTTTGACGTTTTGGATACAAATCAAGATACTAAATACAATCTCAAATATAACAAATTTTACTTTTTTCTAAATGAGTGCTTTTTATGAAGAATAATATTTACAAACCTAGTTAAGTGAAGCAATTTTTACCATATTTTGTATGAGAACTTTAATCTATTTGAATAATATGTTGCTGGTTACTTGATGCCTGACTGGCGGTAGATTCCCCCCTGTTGTTTTTTTGCTGTTGGAAATGTATGAATTGTGGTTTGTTGTAATTTGAGTAGAGCAAAATCAGCGTGCAACAATAAAAGCAGCAGCCAGGAGCAATAAAAAAGAAAAACTAATATTTACGTATGTGCATATGCATGTAAATAGTAAATTAACCAAAGCTGAAACCACAATAAAATCTTCACGAGAAACAGCGTTAACAATATTAAAGTCAGTTGGGAGCCGCAAATGCATGGCTATTTGCAATGTGTACCCTGCAGGGAAAGCTACCAGTTGTGAACCAGAATGCTACCAGTTTGCGTTTCAGCCCAACTAGTTCACGTTGTATCCTTTTTCAATGTTAGCGACTGGTATTTTTAACATGGCGGTGTCATAGGAGATGTCAATTGTCCGCTCCTGCATCAGCACGCTACCAGTAGAAATACTAGTAGCATCATACCAGTTGACGGGATAGACTGCGTATTCATCCCCCGTGAAAAGCATAAGTATGTCATTTTGCTCGCGGCGCTGCAACAATGGTCAACAGAGTAAAGCTTTGGCACGCCAAATAAAGAGATCCGAGTTCGAATCTCAGTGAGCGAATCTTTTGTTTTTTATTTTTGTGTTGTTTGTTTTTTTATTTATATCTCTTAAGCAATTTTTAAATTTATTGTTTTAAAAAGAACAAAAAATTATTTATTTTCATTTTTTTATGGTATTTGAGTATTTAGGTTTTTTCCAAATCAAATTAAATTTATGTACAATTTTTATTTTATATTTAAATTGAAATAATTATTTAAATTAATTTACTTACTTTACTTTTAATATTTTTTTATTGAGCTTTGTACCACGATTGTTTATTAAGAAAAATACGCAGGTTCGATCCCTGCTGAAGTCTAGAAAAAAGAAGTCTGATGAGGAGATGTGGTGATCTCCGAAATAGTGCTATAACTTCTACCGCTTAGACTTTGTTGCTTTTTCAATTTTTCCTAATAAACAATCGTGGTACAAAGCTCAATAAAAAAATATTAAAAATAAAGTGTTAACAAGCCACAATAACACAAATTATTTACTTTACTTTATAACAACCTCCACGCATACTCGAACCTGAGATCTCAGAACCAGAATCGGTAGTCTTCACTCGACGCCACAGCCGACATTTGTGATGAAAGCAATTAACCACGTTTTAGTTTTGGTTATGCCTATTCAAAGACAGATGTCGCTGATCGCATAAGTTGTTCGAAATCGCCGAAATGGTAGGCCGTCGCTTTAGAACATACTGGTTAATGAACTAGTATTTATACTGGCTGGTTTGGCATTTCACTGCGGAGAACTGGTATAATTATAGTCCATGACGAACTGGTATGACTCTCCCATTTAATACCAGTTTTCAAACTAGAATTTCTACCAACTTGTTTACTTTTTTCTGCGCGGAACTGGTATAATTATGGTTCATAACGAACTGGTATGACTTTTATCCTTAAATAATAGTTCATAAGCTGGAATTTGTGCATACTGGTTTAGCTTTTCACTGCAGGGTATGTTTATGTGAGCATAACTATACATACATATTTTTCATAAGTAAGCAAACATGCAAGTGGAAAAGCACGGATGTGCAAAGCCTGAACACGTCATGCTTACTCCGATGCGAATACGTTTGCAAACGTTACTAAAACACAAAACTTTAACGAAAAAGTAGCAGAAATATGGAAGAAATATAAAACTATGGAAAAGTAGAAAAATCCCCAGTTACGTATGTACATATATATTTAGGATAGAAATATGTACATATGTATGTATATATAAAAGTATGAATGGAGTGGGTTGTAGACCAGTTATGCATAACTGCACTGCTATACCATTTTTACGTATAAATCAAAACCGAACAGAATTCTACATGTTAAGTGCTGTGCGTTGGGTAACCGCTTACACGCAAAGCCCATTTAACAGATCCTTATGTGACAACTCTCATGCAAAGCTAAGTATGCATAACTGGGCTATTAGACATTTATGCTTAACATAAGATCTTTAAATGTGGCTAGTAATCTCACAGATTATTTCCAAAGACTATATTTCTTTAGAAAATTGCAAAGAAGAAACACGTGAAACACTTAATTACCTAGATATCATTCTCAGAGACTTTTTTACTATTTAATTATTCAAAACAAGGACTTAATAATCTTTATGACAATATGAAGTAATCTGTTACCGTTTCCGAGTGGTGAGAGGTAATATCCAACAAGTTTTTTTTTCCAGTAACTGTCGCTCTTCAGCAGCAATGGAAAGTTTCGAGTGTACTCGCATAAAAAAAAAAATATTCTCTTTTTGCGATACCGCCGCCTATGAAGTTTCACTGCAAAAATCTGTCACTTGACCCCGACGGCGGGGTTTTAGTCCGACTTAAAGCAATTCGATAACTCATATCAATTTTGATTGAAAAGGCTTTTGATTACTGAAATGTTACAATTTTTGAATTTGTCAAAAACCCGGTTTTATGAAAAAAAAATATACATATATTTCTCAAGTTTCATTGAGGTACCTAAGTGTCTATTTCAGTTATTCGGTGCGCAAGCGGGCGGACGGATGGAATTTTATAAATGTTATGTTATAATCCAAAATCCCAATTGCCAACATCTTGTGCTTTCATAAGTGGGCGATGGCACGCCTTTTTTCCAAACTTTGAACAATAATATAATTTATTGCCAAAAGGTTATTATTATGCATTGATTTCTTTTTTTCTGAGAATCATTGTGGAGAGTGTGTGTGTTTATACCATACCCATTTTCAGTACGATCAGTCCTTAGCGCGGATGAAATACGAGAACCAAATTTTGTCGTCCGCATCGATGGTGAATTTGGCGGATCCAATATGGCGCATGTGTCTTTATTGATTTTTTGGAAATTGATTTCAGTTTTGTAATAAGCCAATCAAAGAATCTTTGGATGACAATATTTTTTTTTAAATCCATCCAACCTTATGGCATCCGCCATTTTGAATTTTTAAGAACTGTCTTTAAATTTCGTAATCACCGACTCCAAAAACTCTTATGGTGTTTTTGTTTCTACCAAAAAATTTCACCTTTTCATTGCCCCTTTCACGTTCTGTGTTCTATTCTAAATTAAAGGCAAACGGTGAGAAAATTTTGTGGTTATTTCTTAAAATGTCAAACTCTTGTAAGGCAAAAAAAGCACACTATTTCTCTTTGAAGCTTCTCAGGGAAAGGCAACCGCCCTGATAATCAAATGGTTGCTTAAAACAACAATATTATGAAATGCGTGAGCTAGACAAGGACGAGGAGGCAAAAGTATTTTCTTTTATAGGGTTGAGGCATATGCGTTGTGAAAGCAAACCGTGTCGCTCGGCCGATATGCAAGCGATATTACGTCGCCGCAGTGTCGCTGTCCTACCACGTACCTACTCAGCATGTCGATGTCGCTTTCACATCGTAACGCTTATCACGTCGCCTATCGTATCGCTCTAATGTGCACCGTGCCTGAGTATAACCTCAAATACATTTTGTACCGTGGAAGGGCAAATTTTTTTTTTAAGATACGCAATTACCTTTACAAACGAAATCTTTAACTTAACTTAATGTAGAACTTAGATTTCGACGTGGCATTAAGTTACGTTAAGTTTTGGCTGTTCAATTATAAGCAACTTCCATTTAAGAGAATTTTTAATTGAGAGCATGTAAGTTACTTCAAGTTGCCATAATCAGACCAGAAGTCTTATGAAATTGGTGAAATGACAAGGTAATATTGTTTTGACCGATTCAGCATAGGGGTTGGTAAGATTTGTTTTCCCCTTAGAAACCGAAAATTACTTGATCTAGAAAAACGGCAAAATATGTCTGTACTTTCCGCGAATACTTAATTTTTTCATTGGTGCAAAATCGTGTCGGACGGTATTAGCATTTCCGGTCACGTTTTATTGCCTGTTGGCGTTTTCATAATCTTTATGATCACTCTTCGTTAGTTTTCTTCTTTTTTTACTGTATTCGTTGAGTGCTTTGTATTTTTCGCTAATTTCTCGCCTCACCTCAAAAACTTAATTGAGACAATCCCTAAAAGAGAACAACAGACAACTTCGTTACAAATAATGTGGTACAATATTACATAATACGCTTATACATATGTATGCAATATACATATGTAAGCATGGAATATAACAAATATTTATCAATGTTAGTTTGTTCAGATTTCAGCAATAACTACTCGCAAAAGTAACATTAGTGTGTGCTGTCATGCGTGAAGGTTAACGCTGCGGTGACTATGACAGCACGCGAAATTAAGGTAATTTAAATTAATATGCACCTATAAGTATAAGTATGTATATGCAAGCACACACCAGCTATGGTGATGCACAAATGTATTATCTTGCACTGGTCGCAGTGCTGCCATTTATTTATTTTTTTCTCAAAAAAACTGTAAGTTTCGGGAAAAGCTATATTTTCAACAAAACAACTGTAATCATAAAAAACGAAGAAAGTTAAAAAAAAAGTTTTTTAATAAAATAAATTAAACCATTTACATTGCATTTTTAACGAAATTCAGTTTTATCATTTTTCTTAAATCGCTTTGATATTCATTTTGAGCATTTTATATTGTACCTCAAATTTAGTGCCTCCTGAAGGATTTTTTTAAAGAAATATTTAGTTCTTAAAGGACCAGACAGTGCTGGAAATTATAGTTTGTTTATTATTTTATTCAAGTTGATTTGTGAAAGTATTTTGTTTTAAATAAGGAACCGCTGTTCCCGCATCGTCCCCTTTTATCTTAAAAAATTGACCTACAAAAACACCGAAAGAGAAATTTTAATTTATTGGTTCCATTGAGCAATTTCGAAAAACTGTAATTTGTACTAGGAGTTAATTTAAACAACCGTAAGCTTGTTTACAGCAACTGTAATTTACAATTAAAACTGTGAATCTAGCAACATTGACTGGTAACCTTATTCTAAAGCAATGTATATAACTTTTTGGTATTATCATATTTACCAATCGATACATGGACGACTTAAACAACAAAACACCATAATAACTGCATTTTCCCTAGAAAATTTAACAAAATCAAGTAAACACAGAGGTACAAATTTTTAACTACACTCAGAAAAACGCAAGTTAAATATATTTCTCTTAACTCATGATTTGGTAACCAAAACCAAATAATGTAACTATAATCAAATCAAGTATCTCTTTTCATATTTTAAATGGTTCTCTTTTTTATAAAGCAGTCGAATTTCTGGCTAGTATATATCAGGACGAATGGATGAGGATTGAGTCAAGAGCTTGTGTGAGCAAATCCAATTTTTGGCAGCAAATGTCAGTTACGCGGTTTTGCAGAATGACGATACGCAGTTTTGTACTTTAAACGACGATACGTATGCACATCATCGCCATTTGCATATGGGGCATTTCATGTCACCGCGGCCACCTCTGTGCGCGACCTCTAAGGATTTGGCTGAAAGTTGAAGAGATTGCAGGTATACGTGCAGCATGATTCAATAATACAAGGTTCGATAAACTGACAGTTGTCTCTTTCGCACCGTTCCCTTAGCAGTGGCACCGTGTTGCTTCTTTGCAAATTTACATGGAAACAGTGTAGCTTTGGTGTGAAATAAAAGTATAAGCTTTTGTGCAATATGTTTATTTATATATGCATATGAAGCATATTTAACTGATGAAAACATAAGCAATGGATGTTTACATCAATCTCATAGTAGTCTTATTTTATTTTAAGTCATTTTGCAGTTTTTATACAGCTAAATAGCACATAAATTACGTAATTCACGTATATATATCAATATTACGTTCAACATTTCGTTTAAAATGCCAGATTTCAGGCATATACATTAGAATTTACAAAAGGAATTTCACTACTAAGTGCCTACTTTGCGTACTTTTCTACTACCATTTTCGAACCAAGAGATTTCATTCTTCCCCTTTCTCCGTCCTTCGTAAATGCAACCTTTTGTAAGGGAGTGTCAAACCGCAGCTGTCAATAATTATCTAACCTTCTATTATTGAATCATGTACGTGCAGCATATTTTGCCGATATGATGTGGGGTTGCCTATTTACACGGGACTTAAATTTTAGGAAAATGTCATACATACCTTTTTTTAAAGTGCTGTATCTTGGAAACCTTTTATCAAAACTTGTTGAAAAAAATTTTTTTCTTCCGCCTTATTATGGGCTTCAATTATACATTTTCTGCATTAATGTGCAACGTATGAAAAAAATGTAGTAAACATTTTTCTTTTTGATTAAACCATTTTTTAAATTTTTTATTTTACCAAAAAAATAGTGTCTATAATGTCGACTTTCAGTGCCCAAATGGGCGTAATAGGTTACTTATGCATATAGACTCTGGATCGTCTAACGCTCAAGCAACATGATAAATAGACATTGAAATTTTATGAAATTGTATATTTTTGAAAGAGGAAAGGTGTACAAAAAACAAAAACAATATGAATATATCATATTAACTTTACTAAAGGAACTGAAATTACGAAAATCCCTTCAAGAAAATGGCAGAATTGAATTTTGTTGCAAGTTCACATGGGAAATCTGCTAGCG